AAGGACGTTCTGCTTCGCGAGAAATCCACTCTGACATCCTTATTGTCCATCTGTCTGTTCTTCTCATAATGTGACCGGCCCATCAATGCTTCGCTTTCTCCACGCCACTGGGTCAAATTGGAAGACGGGACATTTTTCTTATATCTACTGCGAACTTCGTAGTGCGAAGTCCGACAAGATGTTGTTTATGTCAGGGCATCTTCAAAAGACTGCGCTTTAGCGCTCTGTAGGTGGTTAGAGCTTTCGACGTGGCTACGATGTCAGCCCAAGTATCAGCTGCTTAATAGAGCGCCGGGAGAGTGCTTAAGTTGAACAGCTAAGCACTATGCTCCGAGTCCATCACTTGGACGGTGGCTTCCTTCGAGGCCCGAAGGCGGCCCGGGCTACCTCTTCTTCTCCTGTTAAGTTCTTCCCTCAAGTCGTTCTCCATTTTCATCCAATGTCCGAGATACACAAAGAACACGTCTCCATGATAGTGGTGCCTTCTAATTCAATATCTGCATGTTCGCAAAGGGTGTTCTTCATGAGCTGCGTCTTTCAAATTATCCGCAATCCGATCTTTGCTATTTCATTTAGTTCCTTCAGCATCGTCTCTGCTTGTGATACTCCTCGAAAAACGAACGATGTCGTCCGCAAAACGAAAGTTCGACAGGGATTTCCGATCAACTCGTATGCCTTTCTCGTTCCAGTCCAGTGACTTCATTATGAACGGCTTCGGCGTGATTGTGTAACCTTGTCGGACCCCTTCCCGATTGGTATGGTCAGAGAGCGATGGAACAGCAGCATCGCCGTTGTATAGTCATTGTAGCAGTCGAACGTGCTCACGTAAGCTGGGTCCGCTCCTCGATCTTGCGCTTACAGGATGACGTTGGTTCCGACGCTGTCGAAGGCTTTCTCGTAGTCGACGAAGGTTAGAGTGAGGCAGTCGGTACTTCCGGCAAACTTCTATGACCCTCGAAACCGTTTGGATGTGATCATGCAGTTGAATCTTTTGCGGAATCCAGCTTGTACTTGGGTTGGGCTTCATCCAATGTCCTAGATATGCGAGCGAGGACAATCTTCGTGAAATTCTTGTACAGCACACTCAGCAGGCACAATGGACGGTTGTTGCGAAGCTCCTCCCGTTCGCCCTTCTTGAGAAAGACTGTTGACGCTCTCACCTGGTCGGGAACCCTTTCCTTTTGAGGCAAGATGTCAGATGCAACGCGGGAATCTCGTAGACGTTGTCCTTCGGCTCGCAGAAATTCGGCAGAAAGATGATCTGGTCCTGGAGTTGTGGACGCCTTCATGGCCTGGTCCTGGAGCCGTGGACGCCTTTATGGTCTGGTTCTGCACCGCTTCGCGCACTTCAACAGGTAGAATTCATGGTGGTGCTTTTCCAGCGGGAACAACGCGTACACGGGTGTTGGATGTTGGTGTTTGTGCTTGAAATGGGTTGCGGATCCTGCATAGACGATTTTCTCCTTTTAGGCAACTCTTTGGTTGTTTATGCGTTCCCACTTTTCTAAAGTCACTTAAGCGCACTCTTCGCAGGCTCGCAATCCTTTGAGAAGCCGGTCGTAGTCGTACGTTGCCTTCTCGATGGGCCAGTCGCAACTTTATAAGAGATCTTCAGCCTGTTACCGTCATAAACAATATCATCCCTCTTGCGGTACTGTGGCGGCCTTCTTTTCTAGCTTTCGATTGATTCGTACCTTCGCTCGAAAGAGGCGGTGATACCACTGCAAGGGATGGAAGTACTGAAACATCGGGCAAGCTCCACCTTCGGTTGGTGAGAATGTCGTCATTTCCGCATGAGTTGTTCCGTTGGGCGATTCCCATGTTCACCGGCTATGTTTTCTCTTCATGAATATGGAATTTCATGGTAAAGTCATGCAACGGAGAGAAGCCCAACTACACGATTGCTGTCTTCGTTTCGGAGCAGCCCATATCCAAACTTTCTGATCCTATATTCCTTTTCTAGTGGCATTCCGATTTTCGCGTTGAAGTCGCCCACAACAAACTTCTGAAAGGATTTCTCGTTGCGGACGACCTCCTTCACATCGCCGTGGAAAACATTTAGTTCTGATTCGTAACCTGCTGATGCTGAAGAGCAGCAGTTGATGATGCTGATGGTCTTCTGACGTGAAGATCGTAGTCGTAGGATGGTCAGTTGAGGTAATAGGATCTCATGCGAATTGACGAGATGGACGATAGATGGGTGGACGACAAAGCCAACGCTTCTACCGTTTTGTGATGGAACCTTTTCACCAGCACTCATCTCTCGCACGTCCTTCTCCCTAGACCGTTGTCTACAGAGCGATGACGTGGTATTTGCTCTGCAGCATCGAGAAGAGCGTGGAAGTCGGCATTTGTGGAGACTGTCTGGCGTTGTAGATACAGAGCATGAGGCAGTCTCCATGGCTATTGTCAGGGCAAACGTGTCGTTTTTGTTTGATCCCAAAAGCGCCCTGAGGACCGTGACATCGTTCTTGTTACCACCCGGCGCCGTAGGCATGATCCGATGTACAGGGTTTTTTCATTTCCTGCTGACGGACTAATTGAAGTTTTCCCGTACAGGAGCAAGCTTACTAGACCTTCTCTCAATTTCGACGGGGCCATCGCTGACCCGGGTGTGGAGCTGGAAGAACCGCTTAGCGACCCGGAAACCAGATGGCGGTGGATCTGACCTAGCCAGCTCTTAGTTAGGCATCCGGCCGAAACCGAAAAAGTCGAATTCCTTCACAGCTTTGAAGGCCCTGCTAGAGTTCACTAGTATGCACTCGGCTGTGTGTCGCAGTTCGACACCCAGTGTAACCCCCATGCCGAGTTTGAGGCGCCCGACCGTTGTGTGGTATCATTGTCCGACAAGTCGATATCAATGGCTAAGCTCATATCGAGAAGAAGCATTGCACCGTCGCCTTCGCATGTTCTTGGGAACACTTCTCCACTATACGCGGACTCAGCGCTCAGCGTCTTTTTATCTTAGTCAGACAATGACCACCTCCCTTTCTTGCATTATGAGGCCGATTGTCGTTTGATGCAAAAGTCCTGCGTTGTAAGTACAAATCGTCATTCAGTACCAGCGGCCGGGATTGACTTCTAAACCTTATCCCCACTGCTGCCTAACAATTTTCTTAGCTGTTGAGCTTATTTG